TCCTACTTCCGTAGTGATACTGCCTCGGAAACCCAAGGAGGGGTCGCTATGAGTCGGGGCCGACTCGATGGCAAAACAACAACAACAACAACAACAACAGTGGAGTGAGGGAACTCTGGTGGCCTAGTGCCTAAGGCATTTGACTGCTAACCAGAAGGCTGGCGGTTCAAAGCCACTCCTCAGAAGGAAGGTTGGGCAATCTACTTCTGTAGTGATAAACCAAAAACCAAACTCACTTCTGTGGAGCTGGATCCAACTCACAGCAACCCCTCCTGGGTTTCCTAGGCGGTATCACTGCGGGTGAAATGTCTATTCAAGTTCTTTGCCCATTTTATGATTGTGGTCTTTCTGTTGTAAACAAAATACTCTTACAACAAATGTTATTGGCATTGCCATGGAAAAAGGGCCACAACAGAACTGAAACTAATACTGTGTGGTTAGGAAGAATTTCATACAACATTTGTCTTGAATAACAATTAAAACGATTACTAATTTACCCTAAAACATAGCTCCAATCTGACCTCTGGGTCTGTTTCCCAAAAGTGACTGAATTCTTCAAAAGAGCACAACGCCTAAGGCCAAATGTTCTGCATTAAGCAGCTTACTAGTGCTTGAAGCTGACTTTGGAAAACCAGTTTCTCCAAGCCTCAAGGTTGAAAAGGACACCTAAAAACAAAGTGGCGTGGGTGGGTCACCCAACACTAGACTCCAGCAATCTGGATTCCAGAATTACAATGGTTTCTCACCATTAACAAATCTCCAAAACAAACTTTTCACATTTAGTAAGATTAATCCATCTCTCACCCTCATCTTCTGCCTCTCCTATTTCTCCCTTCATCCATAGTATCAGCTACCATTTATTTGGGAGCTCTGCTAACGTAGTGCCTAAGGCACTTGACTGCTAACCAGAAGGCTGTCGGTTCAAATCCACCAGCCACTCCAGCCACTCCTCGGAAGGAAGAATGGGGCAATCTACTTCCATAGTGATATCGCCTTGGAAACCCAAGGGAGGGGTCGCTATGAGTCGGGTCCGACTCAGTGGCACCTAACAACAACAACCATTTACTTTATACATACTTCTGGCAGAGCTAATTGAGGACAGAGCTGCAATGCAAAATTTTGCTCTATAGTCCTTTCTACTCCATAGGAATGACAGGGGAAACAATTTGCAGTTTTTGCTGCTCGGAGAACTCAGTTTATTCTTTGAGGACTATTTCTTTTTATAGCAGTTCCTGAAGGCCCCAACACCTCTTTTTTCTTTTTAATTGCTCTTATCTCTTTGGTTTGTAGTTATTTGCATTGCAGTCCTGGGGCGTAGGGATAAGTGCTTTGCATAACCAGGGTTTAGCTTGACGCCCACCACTGAGTAGGCCTTCAACGACGTTTTAAACGAGTGACTGAATGCCCAAAATGTTGAAGACGTCTTCACGCCATCAGAAGGAAAAGTCCAATCGTCTTGGGCTCCAGCAACCTTTACTATTCCGACCCAGTCCAACCCAACCCAACCCTCGCTGTCAGACATCTAGGCCCACACTCCCGGTGCAGGGGGCGTTGGGGGAGCGGCAAAACTTGGAGAGACAACGACGCACCAGGCTGCTGCGCGTGCGCATCAACCTCCAGCAGCGGCTGCAACTGAAGCTGAGCTTCGCTCTTCGTTCTGAGATCCGCCCATAGGCCGACGTCAGCACGCCGGGACAGAGCCGCGACCAAAGATGCCGGAGGATGAGCCGAGTTTCGTTTGCGGACCGTGCTGAGCCTCTTCGACGCGCCTCCTCTTCGCTTGTCCTCCTGCCACGCCTGCGCAGTACCCCTGGCTCCCGGCGCAGACATGGCGCTCCGCTGCCTGCTGCTGCCGGGTCGGGGTGGCTGCTGGGCCCGTGGCCTCCAGCTGCTTCTGCTGCCCGGCGGCGGCGCAGGCCCGAACGAGCGGCCTTGCTTCCGGACGGTGAGTCCCAGTGCTTCTGCCTAGCGCCCGGGCCCGGCGGCACGCGAGCACCAAGGTCACCGCCTCGTTCCCCCCGTGGCGGGCCGTGTGCCCGCCAGCGGAGCCCAGGACTCCCTGACCTTCTAATGCTTTACCCAGTTGTTCCTACAAGCACGCCTCTTTTTGTCAAACTGAGGTGTCGAGTTTTGGAAACATGCATTTCCAATGCAGTGGAATCTCTGTGCTCCAAGGGTCTTCAAAAGACTTCATTCCAAAGTCCTCTAACTTCATTCAGGGTGAAAATGTTTCACAGATAGCTGCAACTAAGCCTGAAAAAGTTAAGGGACTTGGCTTATCTTGGGCATTGGTTGCCTTCGTTTTGCCTGCTTTCACGACTTTGGAGAGTAGAATTCATGTGTTGTGAATGTGCTTCAAGAGTCGGCATAATTAGCTGGAGTCAGAAGCACCAGGTTTGCAGTCAAACTGCAGTACTTTATGAGCCTCATTTTTCCTATCTGTAGAATGGGATGATAGCTGGCATTCTGGGTTTGGTCTTGTAGAAGAGGCTATTTCTCTGTTAGTGATAACCAATGAATAAAAACTTACATACAGTGGGGTATTTGTTATGTGCTGTCCAGTCGTCCCTGACTCATAGCGACCCCTCCTTGGGTTTCCGCGGCCGTCTTAGTGGATTGCCCAACCTTCCTTCGGAGGAGTGGCTGGTGGGTTTGAACCACCAGCCTTCTGGTTAGCAGTCAAGTGCCTTAGGCACTACGCTACCAGAGCTCCTGCAGTGAGGTATGGTAATAAGTTTTTTCCAAAGTGATGATTTTGTGTTCTGATACAAACATTGCAGTAATCTGGCTCAAGGAAATGTTCATTGTATTCAGTTCATTAGTGGATGTTGGCTGTTTTAATCACAGCTGCTTGCTCTGTCATTATGTTGTTGTTGTTGTTGTTATTTGCCGTCCAGTCGGCCCCGACTCATAGCG